AGGAATAATTTATGTAATTAACCATAATGGCGAGCGAATTAAAAGAGTAGCACTTTTTTTTTTTTTTTTTTTCTGTCAAATAAAAGAGTAGTACTTTGATTTTTTTTTTTTTTTGAGGATACTTATTTTTTTTTTGTTCATGTAAAGTTCTTATCTATACGAAAGCAAAGTAAACAAGTAAGTATAGGAAAATTGAACTCCTTAATATATCCCATATACAAACTCATTTTGGAGGATTACATAGCTACCAAGAACTACCGAGTTAAGAAAGGGGACTACAATCTTTACACACATAAAAAAAAAAAGAAAACATTCAACCATATAAATATAATTTAGTCAAATAATGTATCAAAATCCTCAAGAAAATTGAAATTAATAAAGAACAAGAGGCGAAATGAAATCAAATAAACTCAGTAGAATTGTAAAATTGAAAATCTCATTTGTCAAACAAATTATGTGTTAAAAAATATATTTTATACATGATAAAATGTAATTGGTTATCTCTTCTATGTTACAATCATGTCGTAAGTGTGGTATTTAGCGTGAGTAAAGTATCCATTTTCCATACCCAAAATATCCATTTACAAAAAATTCTACTCTGATATAATAGGAGATGCATATTTACATAACCATTTAAAATTTAACTTTAAGAAATCTCGTATATAACAAATTTTTTTATTTTATAGCTAGACAACCAAAGATACCCCTTTAACAAATCGTGTCAGTTTTCTAGTACAATTTACCTTGTAAATCATTGACGATTGATAACCAGGTGAGTCAAATATGCAAAAATATGATATGAAGTGACCCTTTAGAAAGTGAAAATAAAAATTAAACTAGCTCGTTGACTAAAATGATGCATCCTGGATACATAAAATTCTTCTTAAACTAGCGAATTAATATAATATGTGGCTCGTTGACATTCGCTAAACGTTCTTGCACGTCTAAAACCAGTATCGTGTCGACATGCTTCCACGATTTAGTTGGAAGAAGTCCAAAACAACAAGGAAAACGAATCGTCTAGCTGTATTTAGAGAAACACTTTGCTATATAAACTCATGCGCCCATTCTCTTACAACACAAACCAAAACAACAATAACTAACCAACGTAGTAACGCGTTGGTAAGAAAAAGTAAAATCTTAATGAGATCTTCTTCTAGGATGGGGCCTTCAGCCCATCTCATTTCCGCTCTAGGAGTTATCATCATGGCAACAATGGTTGCTGCATATGAGCCAGAAACATATAGCTCCCCACCACCATTGTATTCTTCGCCGCTTCCTAAAGTTGAATACGAGACTCCTCCACTACCATCAGTCTACAGTTCTCCACCACCACCTTATTATTCACCGTCTCCTAAAGTTGACTACAAGTCTCCTCCACCACCGTATGTTTACAGTTCACCACCCCCACCAACATACTCACCGTCTCCAGTAGAATACAAGTCTCCTCCACCACCGTACGTATACAGTTCTCCACCACCACCATACTACTCCCCTTCCCCAAAGGTAGACTACAAATCTCCTCCACCACCATATGTCTACAGTTCCCCACCACCACCATACTACTCGCCTTCCCCTAAGGTCGACTACAAGTCTCCTCCACCACCATACGTCTACAGTTCTCCACCACCACCATACTACTCGCCTTCCCCTAAGGTCGACTACAAGTCTCCACCACCACCGTACGTCTACAGTTCTCCACCACCACCATACTATTCACCATCCCCTAAGGTATACTATAAATCTCCACCACCACCGCTAGCCGTCTACAGTTCTCCACCACCACCGTACTACTCTCCTTCTCCTAAAGTGTACTATAAGTCTCCACCACCACCATATGTGTACAGCTCTCCACCACCACCATACTACTCTCCTTCCCCTAAGGTATACTACAAGTCTCCACCACCACCATACTACTCACCTTCGCCTAAGGTGTACTACAAGTCTCCACCACCACCGTATGTCTACAACTCTCCACCACCACCATACTACTCACCTTCGCCTAAGGTGTACTACAAATCTCCACCATCATACTACTCACCTTCTCCTAAGGTGTACTACAAATCTCCACCACATCCTCATGTATGTGTTTGTCCACCACCTCCTCCATGTTATTCTCCATCCCCTAAGGTTGTGTACAAGTCTCCTCCACCACCATATGTCTATAGTTCTCCACCACCACCATACTATTCACCATCCCCAAAAGTGTACTATAAATCTCCTCCACCACCATATGTTTACAGTTCCCCTCCACCGCCACCTTATTATTCTTCTTCACCAAAGGTTGAATACAAATCTCTCCCACCTCCATATGTTTACAAATCTCCACCTCCACCATCGTATTCACCTTCTCCAAAAACTGAGTACTAAACTTCTCGGCGGCTTATGTATTACTGAAACCAAAAATGTAATTCTTAAATAAGCTATCGAATTTTATTTGATTTTATCTTTCTTTTGTTCATGATTTTTCTCGTATCTAATCAATTTTAATTTTCTTGGGATTTGTGTTAATAATTTGGCTACAAATCCTCATTTGGTTTCATGTTTTTCTTTTATTTGTGTAAAAATTGCTTAATTTTCATACCTAATTAAGTCTGGTATGGATTTAAAAAAAAACACTCAAACTGAAAATCAATTACGACGGCGATTCCCAAAGGTATCAAGAACTACATTTTACTCCCCATTATATTCTATCGCATTATATTTATTAAAAGATTTTCATTAATAAAAAGGAATTACAAAGGAATCCTAATCGAACCATTACATGCATCCAACCCAAAAAATGGGAGAAAAAAAAACCATGAAATAGCTAAGTCATATTAAAAACAGAAAAGATAAAACTTGTTTATGTTTAATATTTAAGTAAGTTGAATTTTTATTTATCCCAAATCTTTTTGTCGTCCCTTACGATTAACTTCATCAATTTTATCTACCAAAGAAGTGGTGGTCTAGTGAGATAATTCAAGGAAGTTGTTGTTTTTTTTTTGTGTTTCGGGAGCAATCCTGTTTTGGAACGGTGAAATATTCTTTAAATATAAATGAATTAATTGCTGGTTCTGAATACTAAGAGAGATTGTGGGTCCAAAGTTCAGAACTCCCGCAATTAAAAAAAAAAGGCTTCAGTTTCATGCAGGAAGTTCAAAGCTCACAAATATATTGTCATATGATATGTTTAGGTTTTTTAATTCTAAATTTATATACGTCGTAAGTGCACTCTGCCATTTACATAAAATGCAAGCCTTGTAATTTGTTTTTGTTCATTAGATCCTATTCTATGCCGGCTTAGACACACTAATTGTTTATGATTTGTTTCCTTAATAAAATTAAAATTCGTTTGTTCTTTTGCTGGCTCTGAAGCAACAATTTTTATATATTTGCCTTCCCGGTTAAGCAGAAGAAGATGTCAAGTAGGTGAGAGGTTGGTGGTTTGGAAAATTGCAATTAACACGTGTTTATTTTAACTCTTCAATTTTAAATGGTGAGAGTGGACATAGCAAATTAATCTACTCGCGAACTAAACCGCTCTGTATTTTTGAAACGAAATATAAATTGTTGCAGTTTGATATTAATTATTTTTTAATAAATCTACTGCAAATATTTTCCTATTATTATTTCTGCTCATGTATAAAATAATTAAACATAATGGTATCATCCGCATCTTCATATGGAACCTTCTGCTTAGTTTCATTGAGATCGACCAAGTTTATTCGTGATTTGAATGGTGGCTACTGGCTACGGGACTAATGAGAAATGAGTTTTTAAGTTTCATATTTAACAAAAAAAATGTGTTCACGGTAACAAAAACAATTTATTCAACTAATACAATTCTGCTCCATCCACTCCAAAGGAAACCAAATTAATTCAGCTAAATTGCTGTTTTCATTCTTTACAACAACAATTAGTGCTACAACTACAAATGGTTCCTAACATGTTTAGCTCTTAGACTTGAGACGACTAGAGCTGCCTACACCTACTATATAAAAGATTTAAAAAAAAAAAAAAATTAATAATAGCTCCAGCCTCCAAATAGAGCACCGTATCCACTTATATATAACATTATCTCTTTCATTATTGGAGAAAAAAGTACACTGTGATAATTTGAACTCAATATATACACATGTAGAGTACACTGTTATGGGATCAATGGCTCATAAATCAGTGTTGATATTATGCGGAGAGTTCATGGAAGCCTATGAGACTATAGTACCTCTCTACGTCCTCCAAGCGTTTGGCGTTAGCGTCCACTGCGTTTCTCCTGGTCGCAAAACAGGCGAAAAGTGCATCATGGCAGCTCACGATCTCCTTGGCCTCGAGGCATTTCTCTAATCTTTCACTTTTTCTTCATTTCGATTTAGCCCTTCCAATCGTTCTTTGCATATTTAGTAAAACAAAGCGATCAAATGCAAATAGTTCACATGCATATTTAAACTTTCAATCACCAAACAGATGATTCATGTATTCATGTGATTACTCAATCCATACTTTTACCCGTTTGAATTTAATTATTTTGATCCAAATGGATATTTGATTTCTATTATCTTTATCCAAAAAGTTTAGATAATTGGGTGGTCTCAACCCAAAATGCATGGGCCTACTCTTTAATTTCTAGTAAAAAAAGAAGAGTAACAATTTGATTTTTACCTTTTCACAGATATACACCGAATTGGTGGTTGACCATCTAACACTAAACGCAAACTTCGATGACGTCATCCCCGACCAATACGACGCCATCATCATTCCCGGTGGACGTTTCACGGAGCTTTTGAGCGCCGACGAGAAATGCGTGAGTCTTGTGGCTAGATTCGCCGAACTCAAGAAGCTCATCTTCACGAGCTGCCACAGCCAACTGTTTCTCGCGGCGGCGGGTCTGCTAACCGGTGGAATGAAGTGCACGGCGTTCGAAAGCATGAAACCGTTGATAGAGCTCTCAGGCGGCGCGTGGTGGCAACAGCCTGGAGTCCAGACCCTTTTCGACATAACTGATTGTGTCAAGGACGGCAGTTTCATGTCCACTATGGGGTGGCCAACGCTTGGCCACAGTCTCAGAGTTTTGTTTGAATCACTTGGCTCCAAGATTTCTAGCTCTAAAGAGAATCACCAGCCTTCTTTGCTTTTCTTGATCGGGGTAATTAAGCTTCGACTCTATTAAATTTTCCATTTATAAATTCAGGAAAAAATGTTCATTACTAACCACAAGTCTCAACTAACACGTGAAAGAGTATGATCCATACGTTCTTAATTATTTTTTATTTTTTAAATGACACAAATTATTTGGTCTGAGTAATATGTAATTTTTGTATATCTAGGATTGTGTTGAAGATTACAGTATCAACGTACCATTTAAAGCGTTTCAAGCTTTGGGATGTAAAGTGGACGCAGTGACGCCAACCAAGAAGAGAGGTGAGAAATGTGCTACAATCGTTCATGACCTTGAAGATGGACGGCAACTTCCTACTGAGAAGTTTGGTCACAACTTCTATGTGACCGTTGCGTGGGATGATGTCTCTGTGGATGATTACGACTGCATTGTGGTTCCCGGAGGAAGATCTCCAGAGCTCTTGGTGATGAATCCCAAGGCCATCGAATTGGTCAGAACGTTTGTTGAGAAAGGCAAGTTTGTTGCTGCCATTGGAATGGGAAATTGGCTACTTGCCGCGACAGGCGCTCTTAAGGTAATATCAACAAAACTGAATGAAATCAAAACGTTTTACTATTTTCAAGACTTAAAAGTTAAAACTGAAGCTGAATCAAACCGCATTTTAATTTAAACGATACTTCTTTATTCAGTCATAGATATGACACCACTTCCTTAGCAGAGGTTTAATTTTTGCCAACTTGTTAACTCATCTCTGATTTTCATTGTGTCATACTATTATTACATTGCAGAAGAAGAGATGTGCAAGTAGTTATGGGACAAAGGTGGCTATGAAAGTTGCTGGTGGTGAGATCGTGGAATCAGAACGGTGTGTGACCGACGACAAGCTGATCACAGCCGCATCAACTTCCGATCTTCCTGCCTTTTTGTGTGCATTGTCGAGTGCACTTGGTCTCTCTGTTGTATTCTAATGTCAAGTGGTGCTTTACTGTCTAATAAAGATATCTTTGTACTTAATGGCGTGTCTAATTATCTATGTACAAGCTTGGATTGCATATATGGGGAAAAAGAGTTGCCAGACTTTTTAAGACCTCTTCATATGTGATTTTTAAGAAATCACCACTATCAAGTTGTCCTTTTCTTCGATTTACATTTGGTAAACAAGCCCTGTTGACCATTAGGTTGTATCATCATCACCTTTGTCTTTTTTTTTCATTTTTACAACAAAACTCAATTTCATTAAGTTTTTTTTTTTTAAAAACCCTCTCCTTTACAGAGAATCAATCGGAAATATGAAATTTACATGAACCACAACACCCAGACACAAATACGTACTAAAGCAAAAGATTCTAAAACCAGATAAAAAATAAAGTGGGCTAAAAATCCTAGAGATAATGAGTTCCACTGCGAAAATAAACCACTCGAACTAACCGAAAGCTACCCGATGAAAGATCGCATGCCTGTAGGCTGTAGTTGATTAGCGATAGCAAAATCTGTCACCAACAAATTGTATTTCCTTGTTAAATACTAGTAACATATACCAAACATATTAATTTTGTTGATTAAAACAACATATACATCCATCCATACTTCCCCAAAATTGCAAATTGTTTATAGGCGACCAATGGTAAATCACATTTTTACAGTTATTCACTGCATAAATTTACTACCGAAAATCTGAAGCTAGAATATTTGTTGGATCATAAGAAAATCTGAAGCTAGAATATTCCGTTCGTCGGCGTCGTCTTTCCCGCCCCCAAATATCTGAGCTAACCCTAGACTCTCGATTTCGTCGCGATTTGCTCAATCACCTTCACTATTCTGCTTCAATGGACTCTCACTCTTCCCACCTCAACGCGGCCAATCGTTCCCGCAGCTCTCAGACTCCTTCTCCTTCTCATTCCGCCTCCGCCTCCGTCACTTCTTCTCTCCACAAGCGCAAACTCGCCGCCACTACGGCAGCGAATGCAGCTGCGTCTGAGGATCACGCCCCTCCTTCTACCTCTTTCCCTCCTTCCTCCTTCTCTGCCGATACTCGCGACGGCCCATTAACCTCCAACGATGAACTCGAGAGCATCTCCGCTCGCGGCGCTGATACAGATTCAGACCCTGATGAATCAGAGGATATAGTCGTGGACGATGACGAGGACGAATTTGCTCCTGAACAGGACCAGGACTCTTCTATCCGCACATTCACCGCCGCTCGACTCGATTCCAGCTCAGGAGTCAACGGTTCAAGTCGTAACACTAAGCTTAAGACGGAGAGCTCCACGATTAAGCTTGAGAGCTCTGATGGTGGAAAGGATGGTGGATCATCTGTGGTTGGGACTGGTGTGAGTGGCACTGTTGGAGGAAGCTCAATCTCAGGGCTGGTGCCAAAGGATGAGTCTGTTAAGGTATTGGCAG